ACTGAATAAAACACAACCAAAGTTTTATTATTTAAAATGTAGTTCCTTAAATATTTGAAACTGTTATCTAGAGTAGGTCAAACTAGAGGCAGGAATATTCACTAGCTTCCGGTTTGTCTTGAAATATTCTTGGCATCAAATGGTGCCAAGCTATCGTATATTACTGGAATATATCAGACTGACCTTTGACCTTATAGACAGTGAGTAAGATTTGGGTTGGTAGTTATTGTATTTTCCACACCCTGTGCAGTATATTTATATGAATGAAAGGGAAAAATAACGTTTCCTTTTTACATACTTATCTACTGACTCTCAGTGTGTCATTGAAGGTTCACTGCCCTGTTTTTATTCAATGAGTATAGTTATTTTATTAATATCGATGCAGTAGATATGCAAGGGTATTATTATGTGTAGTACAGTTTTTACATTGGGCCACTGGGATATGCTCATAAGCATATTATGTTCAAAACAAATGAATCATAATATTATCATTAACAATCTTTTTATATGAATAACTCTTAATAATGGAGCAGTTGGTAACTTTAGTTTTACTTTCGATGATGATATATATATATAGTGGAAATATTTTACATATTTTATTGTAGGGGGTCTTGTACAGTCATTATGATCATACCCAAATTATTGCTTCATGTGGAACGGGGAGTGGGATGGGGTTACCATGTTGATAGAAGGCATGAGCGAGGCTCCACTATTATTAACGATATCCAGCTTATAATTTTGACATAATATTATAATATAATGTTAGTATTGTAAGTGACTAGTGAACTATTTGTATTCAACTAAACGATACATACAGTCCTAATGAATGGCAATGAGTATTCTATAGTCCCAAGTACAAACAAGTTATTGAAGGTCTTGAATATAATAACATTGATAATATTACATGGAGGTTATATATGTATTAAAAAAAACCTTTACTATAATAGAACGTAAAACTATTGCATTTCATTAGCCATCTTAATCTGTTGACTCTCATTTACGACAATAGAAGGGTTTGGATGGTGACCTAAAGATTATTATACCCACAGCATTAAACTTGAGAAGGTCCCTCAATTTCCAATATGGATTAGGACCCCGGTTGCCAACGTGTTGTGTTTTCACCCCTAGGGTGTGGGACTAGAGTGTAGATGGAAAATTTAGTTTTAATTGAGAGAGCACCTCACATCATCACATGCTGGAAATGTGGATGAAATAAATTTTTGGGGGTGTGAAAGGAAAGGTGGATTAGGACAACAGACCAAACCCAGTTGATTAACTCTTAGTTCTATGGATGTTTTAAACTAACATCATGATTCACCACTAGTATATCAAGTTAAACGAGTTACTTTAAGAAAAAAGCTGTTATATATACAAGTTTTTACTTGGTTACATTCTTAGCTGTTTACATTCTTTCAACAGTACAGGTCAAGCCTTTTAAGTCCATAAATAACACAAGATTTAAACTCATCCTATAGCTGACGACGTGTGGTTTCAATTTTACATAATGACCGATTCGGCATGGGATGGACTTCAGTAGCATTCATGTAAACGCATTGAATAGGATCTGATCACATGTTTCATAAGGCTGATGCAGGAGTACCCTACAAATAGTCGGCTTAAAATAGGGCAGGTTACCTGGGAACGAATTATTAGCAGAGGTGAAATCCAAAGGAGAAACCGACACTTTATTTATCTGACTCGTTACGTATGAGTCCAAGTCAACATGAGAGTAGTCACTCATTTAATTATAGTGTCAATCCTTAAACTTTTGTGTATCATTTCTGCTGGGTTTGGAAAGATCTTATAGCGACTTAATAAATCCAACTTTTGTATCTATTGTTTAGTCATTAAAGATGTTTGAATCTTGCTCTATATATTGTTTCTGACGAGGAAGTCTATAATGAGTTGGTGTTATCAAGATTTATCAAGATCTGTGGTTAGTATTATCATCAATCACGGTAGTGGAAACTTCTACCAGATCAGATAAGGCATCCTGAGGCTAATCATTTGAAGGGATGTGAAACTCAATATTGCAGGAAATACTTCTGGACGGCTAGGTAAATTGACATAACCTTCGAAAATGGCGACATCTGATTAGGTCTGGATTCCATAGTTGATGGTCAGTAGTAAACAATATAAGTCCGATTAAATCAACGAGGTAGCTATCTTTAATAACATTCCTGGATCATTCAAGATTGTACATGTATATGGGCCATAACTGGGCGTCCAAGAATAAGACAAAACGATTTCTCATTCTAGAATCTTACTCTTTGAAACAAAATGTTTGATTTAACATTAAAATGAAATGGGGAAATGAACCCCAAGTGAGATTTGATGCCAGCCAGATAATGCTACTAAAGATGTTCTCTAGAGTGACAGACTTCAGGTCATTTTATTTACAAAAGCACCGTTCTAAAGAAGTTCAAGGCAACAGAATAATACAATATCGGGTGATCATCCAAATACGCTGGTTTTCATTTGCTGCAAGGTATATCTGAAGAGGCAAAATTGTTTGTATTTATGAATGAGTCCTCTGCTAGTTTCGCTATAAATAACGTTTTTTGGACTTTATAACAATATTCTAGAATACCATCACTATGTATCGGTATCAACCCACGAAAACCCCAGCGATTCTTAATGCTGAATATGGTTGGAAGATATATCTAAGGTTGTCCCTTACCGGGGTGATCTTTGTAACGTAGGTATCACACGATATATTATGATAATGACTGACCAGTCGAATCTATCTTATCTTAATTATCTGGATTAATCAGACTGTTATATAATAATACAGGTAACAAATGTTGGTCAAATCTTATCCAGGTAACAATTATTTGCAATATGATACTTCGCGCACTTATCATACATTTAGTAATCAGTGTAATATGAAGAAACGTTGTAATTGACCTGCACAAGTATATAATGATAAAGGTAAATGATATCTATATATATATATATTAAATAACGGAATACAATTTTATGGTAATTAATTCAATTTGAGTAAGAATCATACTAGTCTATGTGCAAATTGTGGATTGTGGAAATAGACCACTACATTGTCTTTGGGTATTTCTGCTCCTATATTTTCTACACACACGCCAAAGCTATTCAATTCCCAAATTGATAGTTAAGGTTTCAGTTCAAACCAATATTATTGTCTATTTCCAGCGAGATGTTCTATCATTAATTCATTCTGTCAGTTTTATTCCATTCCAGCCCCATTTCATTCCATCTAAGATAATATTTCATAGCGAAATTCAATCTTCATCGGTTCCACTTGCTAATAAAAGCCATTCATGCTGTTCTTATTGAAATGTTTTTCAGATAGGACTAATTGTACTTTTTGACTCATCGAATTTAATGAAAAGATTTTGCAATGTCTTTGTCTTTTAAAACGCATTCTTAGATTGAAATAATGGAACCTTTAAAGAAGCTGTGAATCTTGTTTAGAATTTTTATGAATACAATATCTCAATTTAACTATACAAGGAAGACCGGTGAAAACGCAATTTTGGTTTTGATATAACCAAAAACTTTCCTACTCCACGCCTTTTATTGTTTCTATATTATGCTGAAGGAATATTTAGAAGTTGGCAAGGAATAACCCAACCAACAACAAATGTTTGCCCTTTAACATTCACAAGACAATGGGAGAAACAATAACACAGATTGTGTTAGTAATTCACAATGTCTTTGATGGAAGTAAAAAAATATTAAACTCTCGGTAAAGTTAACAGTTAACCAATTGATAGAAACATCAAAAGATGAACTCCGATTCTGCATTGTTAAATCATATTACTGAGTGGTAACAAAGAAAGTACATCGTGGGACATCTGTTGAATGGCATTGATGGGGAATTTATAAAAAAAAAAACATGGCGGCGGATTGTTACATCAATCTTAGATCACAAAGGCAGAAAATTGAACGAACGTGTGCGTATGAAATCAGGCATAGATACAGCTGTTTCATGGTGCTAGCTCGAAATGAATGCTATTGTTCTATTGAATAGGTATTATAGTATAAATAAAAAAAATAGCAGAATGGGGTCGGGATAACCTCCTAATGTGTAAATAAAATATGATATAAATTTTTTAAATGTTATTTAAATTGGCATCGATTGATATTTTAAATCTAAAAATAAATAATATATTTATTATTGAATGCTTGTTATTCTTGCAAGATGGTGTCTTGCCAGTTGTGTACTATCAAAATATATGAAAATTTCTGATAGTAAACGATATAGTAGCCTATGTTTCGGACTAATCAAATATCAGGAAAATGTGCTATTAATTAATATGACTTCATCTCCTACAATTAAAGATGGGGTAGAATTAATCTGTGAAGAGGCTGGGGAGTTTTAAAGGACAAATTAATGGCTCACAAATGTTTAACGATTGCTCGACAATCTGACATAGATCAAACAAAGTTTTTACAGACAGAATGGACCAAACAATTAAAGGCATATTGAAGTGGGTCATTGAAAAATAATTAGCCCCATAAGAGGATTGGTGTTACCCATCAATTTGAGGGTGTCAAAATAGCTCGTGGAGATAAGAATCTTATGTCAGTATACCAGGGCTATATCATCAATAATGTTCAGTTTATCTATTACGTCACATCATATGACGTCATTTTTTCAAATTAATTAAATATTGGTCTGGTTTGAGTTGGTATTTTAATTAGTTCCGGTTGCTCTTAGCAGGAAGTTATTTACGTTCTTTGTTTTTATACATTGGAGACCTATAATGGAAATTTTAAATATAAAAATATATCGTTATCAAAGTATCAGATAACTTCCAAATGAATTCCGAGTTTAAAAACCTATTCGAATAGAGGCGTAGGGTGTTGACGAATACCGAGAAGATGCCAGCTTCCCTTCAGACAAGAGAAGATTACAAATCGATTGCTTTCTAGAGGTATAAAAATTGTGAAGGTCCATTCAAGTTTTGACAATTATTATAAAAGCTGATAAAAAAATCTGAATGTTGACGTAAATAAATATGAGGTTGGTATAGACTAATCTAAATGGTCAAATTTAAAGCCTAGTCGAAATATAAAAGTTCAGTGTAAAAAGAGATTAAAAGTTAATTAATGATAAACTTGATTAATGAGACGTCTGATGACAGTGACAGGTATAACATGATATTGGTTTGCTCTCGGAGTGTAATGGGAAATTCTAACCACTACCGTAAATTCAGGACCTTGAGGCTAAGAAAATACTAAGAATATAGTGTTACCTGGTCTCTCATGTTGTGACACCGGGGTTGTTTTTGGTTTTTAGACTTATGTTTTGATTGAACCGTTGTAATTTATGTTACAGCATCAGAAATAAATACATGTTCTGTCTGTCTGTTCATAATGATTTTTCACAATTAAGTCAATTCAATTCAATCACTGAATTCAAACCATGTATTTCTCTTAATTAGAATACTTTACAGTTTTTCTTTGATGTTCTGCATTACATTCTCACATTAGGTTATTTGAAATAATGAAAAAAAAATCGAGGCTTAAATATACAACCTTGTTTGACGACGACATCATGTTATATCTTAAGTTTTAATTCTTTGGAGGTAATGAAATGAAATTCTTCTTATGTTTTAAATCCATTGAGTTTTCCTTAAAATTGCATTCAATATCAAACATATCGATATAATACAAGAATATAGTGTAATTCAGATCTAGGTTGCTTAACTTCTCTTGTCGCCTTTAACTGAGAAAAAACGCCAAGAAAAGCATCAAGGTTAGGCTATGCTCAGTGTCTATTGAGAACAATGTAGCGTTAAGAGAAAAGTGTTTCAAAAGCTTTGAGAGGGTACTATTTCTTTGAAAGAAGAAGAAAAAAGTGAAAGTACTTCAGTATTTTTTTAACAGAAGGATTATAAAATGTTACCATGTGTAAAACTGGGTTAAATATACAATTGGTGTGTACAGAAACAGATACATGTCTATATATAGTAATTCCTAAATACGGTTGGTCTAATACTGCTCTGAACCGCATCTAGTATTCAAATACACTTCATATACTTCTAAACTATTGTGACCAACTACACCTGTTAAGCAGAAACATTTTACAACTATACAAACTAAGGTCCTCTAGGATCATCGCATTAGTCTGACCTCTTGGCATTGTTTTCCCATGGACAAGTTTCAAGAAATAGATCATCATTTCTACATTTTGGGGGATTTGTCATTTTATACTTACCATTCTATAGTATATCATCAGGTATTTCACGGTTTCTATCCATAAATAAATAAATAACCGTATTATTCTATTTATTTAGCCCGACCCAAACACTTGCTTAAAATGTCAAATAAACATTGACGACCGACAGCATCTCAGATAAGTAAAAAATAGAATTCATTTCATCATTGAAACAGCTGACTGATGCAGTTTGCATATAGTTGAGAGAGAAAGATGAGACATATCAAAACTATCACACAATTGATATAAAACATAGTATTGCAAATTTCAACAGCTTGCCCCCTTCAGTGCCCCAAACACACTCTACCCTGACGTCTTTGCCCAGAATATGACTATGATATCAGCAAAAGCCATCTTCAGAATAGGGAATACAGTTCTACAGCTTGATGTTAAACGTCTACTTGCAGCTCTTGAGAGCGGAATATCAAGTGACCATGTTCAATTGAATTTATATTTACATTCTAGTTTGACATTTTGACCCAACATCTCAAGACAAATAAATTCGTCTAATTCTTAGTGGTTTTAAGTTATAGGTGCTGGCATACAGTAAAGGCCATCAGAACTGTGTATTTGGGACTTAATCGTAAATATGGCATATGTTTGCTCAGCACTATAACAGCTTTCTGTGGTCAGAGTGACATACAGTTCAGAAAGAAAAGGAATATAGTATTATAATGTAATCAGTACATGGAGTAAATATGTAATTAAATTAATCACCATCTTTAATTAATCATTAATTGGTACTCAATGTTAGGATGGTAAATATTATGACATGTACTGACATTTAATTGGTCCTCGAATTATACTTATTCAAAGTAGCAACTACCAAAGCCGAGGATTGTAGCGATCGTTATTGATGCAACTTTTATTATATTAGTTAAAAAAAACGACAATTTATGTTAGAAATAACTCGTGGAACAGTGGATAGGTTGAAATCTTCGAAACTACACACAAAATCCGCTTATGGTTAATATTACATGCAATATGAAGACAATATAAGAGCGAAGGGCGTTCTTTAAGAATGCTCTCTATGTCTAGAAAAATTGAACGCTTTACAATCCCCCTTGGCCAGTGATAATTCAAATGTCATACATATGTATCAGCAAAGTGTCATAATCTGGTAGTAATCTGTAGAGTAATCAGTAGAGCTATATCTCCAGGAGACATCTCACCGATACTATCTAAAAATAAACAACTCGTCGAGGCAGAACACTGGGGTAATCATCTCCTTTTAACAAGTATTACATTTTCAAACGCCAAAATCTCTTTTTTCATTCAGACATATCAAGTGGATATTTATCTCTCTTCTGAAAGGTGACTAGTCCAGATTTGTATGCAGATGTTGGTTCAATAACGTCATAAATCCAGTTTTCGGAACAAAAATGAACTCATGACACCCGTGGCAAAGTCTCAAGAAAGTCGAAACGAGTCAAAGCTTTAAAAAGGAACGGTCCTTGTCATAACCGTGAATACAAGTACATGAGTACCAGGTGAATTCAGAAATAAACGCTAGTCTGTATTGATTTCTAGTCGTAAAATCATTTCAGACAAATGACAAAGGTTATCATGTGTGCCTAAATTCAGAAAAGGGTACCAATCTGATGTAAGAATCTGATGTTTCTTCAAATCTATCGAGAACCTCTCACTTAATTAAACCGTTAACACATACTAACCAAAAGTTTTTCTCATAATTGAGGTGGGAAAAGTTCATAAACTAATAGCATATTACATAATATATCATAATGTACCAAATTCTATCCATAGTAGAATTGTTTTAAATCACGTACAGTTATGAATATACGAACACCACGGTCACTAAAAACATTACAATCATAAACTACAACAACAACTACTACAACAAGACTGATAGTGTTCAATATTTCTAATTGTTGCCGTGATCGGCTTCAGAACAGTCTAGAGATTTCAAATTTGTAGGAAAATTTAATTTAGTGGTTGCTACAGAACTTTGGATTGGAGGTCCAATTCTTTTTAAAACAATTCTAAGGGTTAAAGAGACCATAATATGCCCCTGGGAAAAGCATGCCCTCTTTACTCTCCAATCTTCGTTTGGAGTCGCCACTAACAATTATCATAAGATTTTTAAGAATTATGTAGACATAATCAAAGGCATTATATCTCATATTCAAACTATCATTTTTACAATGACCCTATCCCTTATTTCAGGTTATTAGTCGGTGCTCCAAAAGGTGAAACATCCCAACCAGGTGTTAACAGAGCAGGATCTGTATTTAGATGTGGAATAGATCGTGCCGACTACTGCCAGGAGATTCCTTTCGATGCCAAAGGTAAGTCGCACACACACACACACATTTATTTTGAATTTTTTTTATCAATTTACATAGTGAAAAAATGAACCTGTGACCCCCTGGAAAATTGTTTCGTGATGTTTCGTAGAAAAAGGTTTTCATTTTACGGGAGTAAGCCACGGAAGTCACGAAGTTCCGCTTGTTAAATAATTTTCATGATTTTTGGCCTTCGGTAAGAAATGAGGAACCCGATCTTACAACAAAGCCGAACCTTACCTTCGGACACGTCATGTTTGTTATATTCTGTGTTGCAACCTTTGCATTACTATTTTAATGATTATGATCAGTTGATGATGCAGGGACAAGCAAATATTTATAACCATAAGAATTGTTTCCAGTCCCCTCCCCCAACTTACGCTCCGACCAAAGTTACAGCAAAGAAGAAGATATATCAGATGGTTGTCTCTCTAGCAATTTAGAGTATATTTTGATATTTTCATAATATTGATAGGAAAATCATGATATTGAGAGGAAAATTGAAAAATTGATAGGAAAATCATGATATTGATAAAATCATTATATTGATAGGAAAATCATTATATGACAGGGAAATCACGATATTGATAGGGAAATCATGAGAGATATTGACAGGGAAATCATGAGAGATATTGATAGGGAAATCATGATATTGATGAAGAAATCAAGATATTGATAGGGAAATCATGATATTGATAAAGAAATCAAGATATTGATAGGGAACTCATGAGAGATATTGATAGGAGAATCATTATGGCAGGGAAATTGAGATATTGATAGGGAAATCATGAGAGATATTGATAGGGAAATCATGATATTGATGAAGAAATCAAGATATTGATAGGGAAATCATGATATTGATAAAGAAATCAAGATATTGATAGGGAACTCATGAGAGATATTGATAGGAAAATCATTATGGCAGGGAAATTGAGATATTGATAGGGAAATCATGATATTGATAGGGAAATCATGATATTGATAGGGAAATCATGATAATGATAGGGAAATCATGATATTGATAGGGAACTCATGATGGCTATTGATAGGGAACTCATGATATTGATAGGAAAATCAGGATATTGATAGGGAAATCATGAGGGCTATTGATATGGTAATCATGAGAGATATTGATTAGAGATATTGATAGGGAAATCATGAGGATTATTGATATGGTAATCATGAGAAATATTGATAGGGAAATTATGAGAGATATTGATAGGGAAATCATGATATTGATAGGGAAGTCATGATATTGGAAGGGAAATCATGATATTGAAAGGGAAATCATGATATTGATAGAGAAATCATGAGAGATATTGATAGGGAAATCATGGTATTGAAATCATGATATTGATAGGGAAATCATGATATTGATGAGAGATATTGATAGGGAACTCATGAGAGATATTGATAGGAAAATCATTATGGCAGGGAAATTGAGATATTGATAGGGAAATCATGATATTGATAGGGAAATCATGATATTGATAGGGAAATCATGATGGCTATTGATAGGGAAATCATGATGGCTATTGATAGGGAACTCATAATATTGATAGGAAAATCATGATATTGATAGGGAAATCATGAGGGCTATTGATATGGTAATCATGAGAGATATTGATTAGAGATATTGAGAGGGAAATCATGAGGACTATTGATATGGTAATCATGAGAGATATTGATTAGAGATATTGATAAAAGATATTGATAGGGAAATCATGATATTGATAGGGAAGTCATGATATTGGAAGGGAAATCATGATATTGAAAGGAAAATCATGATATTGATAGAGAAATCATGGTATTGAAATCATGATATTGATAGGGAAATCATGTGAGATATTGATGAGAGATATTGATAGGGAAATCATGAGAGATATTGATGAGAGATATTGATAGGGAAATCATGAGAGATATTGATGAGAGATATTGATAGGGAAATCATGAGAGATATTGATAGCGAAATCATGATATTATGTATTTTATTCTAGGAAATAACATCAGATGGAATGGCTCAGCCTATGTTGATATAGAAGATAAATCTGATCAGTGGTTTGGAGCCACCATTCAAAGTTCAGGAGAAAATGGTGTCATAGTGGTAAGTTAATAAATCTCTGTATAACAAATGATATTTCCTTTTCAATAGAGACATGACACTACTGGTCATTTTTTAACCTTTTAGCTTGAATCTCAATCCCAAAGACGTTATTTAATTTGAGCTCACCCTTCAAGAACACATAAAGATACTCTGTAACTGGATTTGTTACTTCAGAATATTTTTTGAGAGTAGCTAATCATATAAATTTGTATACTTATTACATACATAGGCTTATGACTCTGTTGGTGGACAAGATCATCCCTTAAGCCATTCTTTTATATTGAGCTTTGCCAAAATAAGCAGTGTACTCATCACTTGATTGTCAATGTGGCACCCCTTTTATAGGTCTACAAAACTTATAACATTTATTTAGTATATTTAGTCAGCGAATTGAGGTTATTAACTAAGGAAATATTTTAAGTAGTATTTCCTTTGACTGTTCTTGTAAAATTACTTTGCAGTTTCCATCGTATAGTAGTTTTTTTGATATTTTGGAATTCTTACTTAACAGAATGACCAAAGACAGTGTGTGAAATATAATAATTGAGTTTAGAAAAGTTCATGTTCAGGTTTTTGCAGAAGAAATTATACACGTAGTCCCTCTTTTACATATAGGTTTGCACCCCTTTCAAAAAGTTCATTGCTCATATTGTTCCTTTGTTTTTATTTATGAAAAGTTTTTTAAAGAAAACATTGAGACTGCATACAATACAGAACAAAGACATACCAATAGTTATTTGATAGACAATTTCAATCAAAAGTGTCATAAAACAAGCAGTCTATTTGTGTTCAATAAAATATTTTGAAACTTTATACTAGGTAATTCTAACACCCTGTTTACAGCTAAACTTGTCTTTGTTTGGAAGTTCTTTGGGTGTGAACTATAAAATCATACAGAAACATTTCAGAAACAAAATTTATATCTCACACCCATCTCAAATTGTTATAATCCTGTTTGGATTTGATATATTTAGGATTCAGTCAGTTATTAACTTTAAAAGCTATCTTTATATAATTCAATGTTGTAAACATTATGGGAATATCATTATGAAAAATTGGTATAAGAAATTAACACCAATTTTGATACAACAATGGGTAAACCAATACTTAATTTGGTATCAAAATCACATTGTCTCCTGGATAACTTAATCTTCTTTCTTCCCACCCCCATCTTCTCATAGCATTCATTATCATAGTTTTGTAATTTGAGTAAACTAACAATTACGTATTATTGACTCTTATATGTCCACTGGATAATCAAGAGTTCTTCATATCGATCTACTAGATGACCTAGTCTACTCTCAGGAATTCTGTAACTTAAGACCTAATTGCTTCGTTATCTTTGAAATCATCTTTAACATAGTTTCAAACATTCTGGGATGTTGAGAATTCCTGTGTAATCACACATATTGAGTATAAATATCTGACCAGATTTCAAGTAAATTAATGCTGTTTATGTACACAGCCATTTTGCAATAAACAGATCTCTTTATTACAGTGGCTCACATACGAAATATTTCATTTTTACTTTTGAATTAAAAACATTAATTTTCACATTATTTTTTTATACCTAGATGAAAATTAGGTGATAATTAATGTTAAATACTATTATTGTTGCTCAATATCTTTTGTCCAGTTAAAATCTTGTAAATCTTAAAATTCCTGTAATTTAGAATTAAAAACTTTAATTTCCACCTAGGTGATAATTCAACGAATCTTGTAAAGAACGGCGAAAAAAAGCATTTAATTCAAAATTACAGGAATTTTAAGATTTATAAGATTTTTAACTGGACAAAAGATATTGAGCAACAATAATAGTATAACCAAGAAATAATAAGCATTTTTATTACAGTGGAAATAGAAATGTTTTCTGAGCTACAAGTATTCACAAACCAACTATGCTTTCATTCTTGAATGGCAATTTTGTCTGAAATTATTGCTAAATTCTTCGTGATCAATTTGTCCAGTAGCTTGCCAATGATCAACAAAAGCCGCATTGTTATGAATAAGCCTTGGGGGATGCATAATGATAGTACTAGTGGGCATTAACCTGAAATGAGCTGAACACATCTATTCTGAGAGCAGGTCTATAAATTGGCATCTGTCTGCATTTTGATATATTTACCTGATAAAACCAGATGGCTACATTAAGATCTGGTCTGGCTCTGTCAGCTATCAAACCAGATGCTTTCTGCCATAAATTCTCTCATTAATACACCAATCTAGATATATAACTACATTTTCTATCAGGGTTTATCATGCAAACTGAAAATTAACTTCTGATCTGGAATTGAGAATTTGAATAAGCAGAATAGACCTGGAAGGTGAGTTGCTGTGTTTCATACCATACTATTTATAGTCGCAGCATGGTATTTCTTTTTTATCTTGAAATAGATTTGTCATTGGTTTATGAATGAAAATGTAATATTAATATTTTTTCTAAAATGAAAACTGATGGTTATAAACATCTCAGTTTTGTAGAATTTTTTTTATAGAATTGATATTAAAGATAATGCATTTATCAAAAATGGAAGATTCCAGTATATGACCTTGTCCATTTAAATATTCAGTACAAAAGCTATCAAAATGGCTGTAAAATGTTAGTTTGTTGGTTGCTTGGTTCTAAACATTTCAGTTGTAAAGAATCTGTCCTGATAATAGTTCTGGAAGTTCATATTGAGTGTTATATAATTAAATCTGACTCAAGTGTATTGAACTATGGTATAGTTTACTGTAATTATGACTAGAGGCATGAAGTGGTCATCTCAGATTTACTCAATACATAGGGGGCCATTTAAACTGTAAACTGACCACTTGTGTCAGTAATCACTTGTAAACAGCTGGTTCTGAAACCAGGTGGACTGAATTCAGCTAAAAACATAAAAAATAAGATTAGACTCATTGGTTAGTTTTTACCAAATGCTTTCTAAATGCTTGGAAGAAGGAAATTTTTTCATCTGTTCTAACTTTTGAAGATTTGAGTAAAACCCCTTTTCCTCCCTTCTCACATCAATAGTATCTAGTACCTGGATCACTATCCAAAATGGAAATCTAAAGGTGCCTATGACTTAAAAGAAACAGACCATATAATGTATTTGCTTACAACTTATCTGAAAAGAGTTTTAAATTCTTCTCTCACCTGGCATTAGAACTTATGGCACCAAGTTATTTCCTGTTTCCACATAGAATCAAACCAGGGTTCAGGTCAAGAGTGACCATATCTAGAAAGGGTAGGAGGTGGGTGAAGGTGAAGGTCAGAATTTGGAGTAGAAAGTTGTAAGTTTGAGTGGTGTTCCATGTGTTTTAAATCTAAAAATAAATTAAACAGATATTATTTGATTCAATAAACAATTACAGGTGAAAATAATCACAGACTTTCACACATCAATTTTGTGCCAGTGGCTTACTTGATTCAAATTTTTATGGTAGTCAACTAATTAAAAATAGTTTGAAGGATATCTAAATACATATCACATATTGCCTTATTTCATTTAGTCTAATATCCAATAGTTCATAGTTATGGATGGTCTTCTCAACCAATCTTGCTATCAAATTTATTTGATACATCTCAAAAATTTAAGAGGAAATTCTTTAGTTGAGAAATCAGAATATCAGTCAAGTAGCTAATAAAATATAAATAACCTAGAAATATGTAGACTTGAAACATGACTATAAAACACACTAGCGTCTATCTTCTGCCATTTTCTGTCGGCATGGTAACATTATAATCAAGAAAGAAGTTGGGGTGTCCAGGTTGAGATTTGTCAGTGATCTCATTGGGAAGTTTGCAATCTGATAATCCAGTGGAGTTAAATGGAGGGACTATTGGCTATGGACTGTATTAGGTCCAGGTTGGTGTCGAGTCTGTTGATTATTAGGTAGTTGAGATTTCGACTAGTGTGTTTTGGTAAATGGAAGTGAGAGGCGACTGGTGTGTCCCTCTTAGGATAGATAGGTTCACTTCTTTAGCATTAGCTTTGGCCAACTTGGTTGGTGGAAAAGTAGACTCTTTGTCTTTAAGCCGATGGAATTTCTTCTACCACGGCAGTTATAAATTCCGAGTTTTAAAAGGGGATCATGACTGCCCGCGGGTGTTACGAAATTAGCCATAACTGGGTCATTGGCAGAGGTAAAATATAATATAAGAGATAAAGATTGGCTATGCGACCAGTTATACCTGATCTCTTATAACATCATAATGACTTATTTTGATATAGAAATAATTTGGTTATCATTGAGGATGAATTAGAGAGCTTGAGTAGAGCAAAAAGCAGGGCAACTTGCTATGTTTTTAATTGATTGTATGAAGCAGGGTAGTCTAGATTACTTAAATCTGTGTGTTTTTTTAAAATGAGAACACAATGCCAGATATTAAAACTGAAAAGAGATACAGGAAACATGAATATTGAAAGAATTAAGTTTCATCGACTAATCAAGGGTTATGTCTTTAAACATAAAATTATAAAATATTATTCCAGAAACAAGCCATGCCTGAAATTTAAGAAAACTATAGATAGAAGTTTGTTTGTTTGCTAAATAAAGTAATAGGAATTACCTCTGGCATATGGTGCATTCATTTGTTTATTTTCTCTGGTCTTGGAATGTTGATTATAAGATTTCATTTCTTCTAGGAGGAGGATAGATGGCAAGATGACACAGGGTTGTCTACTTGTATGCACTGCTTAAGTTGATTCTCTTAATTTTGTCTTTAAAAAGTTAATTGAGAGACAATCTATACTGTTATAATTATAAAAAACAACCAATATCTGTCTTGGCTAGTTAAATTGCACACATAGACTTCTATTTCTAATAGTTATATACTCTTCAGTTTTATTTTAAATGAATGTATACCTGAATTAACAAAAGAGTAGAATGCGTGAAATTTATATTTTCAATGGTTATTATTTTGCTTCTCTGTTCCAATAAGCCAGAATTCAATATTCATGTAAGAGGGTTGACTAATTAACTGATATAAAACATCATTATTTTTCACATAAAAACAGTTCCTTAATAATATTCATAAATAATTATAAGTAGTTGACATATTAACCTTTGAATTTGCATAAAAAATGATCCCAAGCCCGATTACACACCAGTTGGCAGCCAGTTGATGTAATTATCACATTAACACTGATATCACCATAACCTTTGACCTTTTATCACATGTTTTTAAATGTATAAACAATGAATTAATTTCAATAAACACAATGCAGCATAAAGATAATAATAAAAAAAAGGATATTTTCTGGCCATTATAATTCTGTTGACCTTGTTTGGTATATAATAATAATTTTGGGAGCTTACATAACTCTAGTTGTTGACGTTAATCATGATTCAAATCTTTAAGAGAAATCAAATCAAGAAAAAAAAATACTGTTATCCCTTTGGATAGTGAGACTTAGATCAGGTTTGCTTTCAATGATTGACCAATCAGAAGAATTGAACAGTAACTTCATCTTAAAGGTTGGTTTGTGAGACTGACCCCAGTTTCACCTGTTTTAAAGACAATCAAATGGCAGACATCATTCTAATCTAATTAGCCTATACTGGAAGTGACCTTTATATGTCCATCATCTGATGTTCAATATCTACCACCACCACTGGCTCTGTGATATCAGCCTCTGTTAGAAGCTGACATGCTTTGTCCACCATCTAATGTCCAATATCTACCACCACTTCCAGGCAGCACCAAAACAGTTTACCTTCTATTTGTTATATAAGGTGTCATGAGTGGAGTTTCTGACTCTTGCTGTATTGTACAGACAGCTCATCTGGTACAGTTTGTTTGAAACATGACATGACCTAAACAGTTCAGCTCACTTCAACATATTTTTTACCAAAAGAAAAAAGATATATTACATTTGTTACAGAACTAGAATCTTTATAATGTAGACTGTTCAACAGTTGACAATTTTTTAGTTTTATTAAGGTAGTATAGAGGTCAGTGTTACCTAAAGAACGTCAAATTTCATAAAAGTAGTCACATATGACTACCCTGAGGAATTTACCTAAACTTTGTAACGGTGGAATCGATGGATTGTGAGTTGGATTGTCATCTGCTAGTCTAGGCTAGGAATCATATCATGCTCAAGGTTAGAAAAGTTCTGATGCCTGTACCATTGCTTCTGTGAGTCTATAGTATGTCAGCTTTCATCCCTTGAAACCAACTTTGTGTAATATCTAACAGAGATAGTGGGATCACTGCTTAAGAGTGACATATGACCATGATGTTCTGAGAGTAGAATACATAGCCTATTCCAATGTTACTAAAGACCATAGAAATAAGTTAGTGATTTGACCTTTATAAGAAATAAAAAACAAATGATTATGATGGAAGAAAACAGTTCTTTGTTCATATTTGACCCAATTCGTACTCCTTGCCAGCCAGCCGAATAACATGTGTTTCTGTTATCACATGATTCATTCACTTAATCTTTATTTTATGGCGAAGTGGGAGTGGTAGGGTAAGGGGGGTTGGGGGTGGTGTAATGGGAGTGGGGGGAATGGGGGTAATGAGAGGGGGGGGGGGGGTGTTGTAGGTGGGTTGTGTCTTTATGGTATTATGAATGATATTAGAAAGGTGAAAAATTAGTTCAATATTTTTTCATTATTTTAACTCTCCATATGTGATGTCAAGTTTAAAAGTTTTAATACCAACTAAATAAACATTTATATCACTTGAACCTTCCATAAAGAAGGCAATTTCAAAACCCCAACACCAGTGCTCCAGAAGATGGACAATGAACATACCCTGCCTTGCCTGAAATGATAATGAAGAAATATTTGTTTCATCTACTCCCAGCCTATTCGAGGTATAACTACGGAAGCGTATTAGGGCCATTCATTTTTTTTTTTTTTTTCAAGTTAGTATGTTGAATTTTCAAGTTTGTATGTTGAATTTTCAAGCTAGTATGTTCAACATACTCAACAAATTCAACATACTAGCTTGAAAATTCAAGATACTAACTTGAAAATTCAAGTTACCAACTTGAAAATTCAAGTTACCAACTTGAAAATTCAACATACTAACTTGAAAAGTCAACATACTAACTTGAAAGTTCAACATACTAACTTGAAAATTCAAGTTACTAACTTGAAAATTCAACATACTAGCTTGAAAATTCAACATACTAACTTGAAAATTCAACATACTAACTTGAAAATTCAACATACTAACTTGAAAATTCAACATACTAGCTTGAAAATTCAAGATACTAACTTGAAAATTCAAGTTACTAACTTGAAAATTCAACATACTAACTTGAAAATTCAACATACAAACTTGAAAATTCAACATACTAACTTGAAAATTAAAAAAAAAAAAAAAATGAATGGCCCTAATACGCTTCCGTATATAACTCATGATTTTGTCTCTATTTTTTTTATGATATTCTCTCTATTTACTATTTATGTATTTGATATTTTACTTTTCAGGCTTGTGCACCTAGATATACATATTTCTCTACAACATATGATAAACGGGAGCCAGTTGGAACATGTTTCTTGGCCAGGGCATCCACCACAACTTACGAAGAATTTTCACCATGTCGAACAGGTAAGATGAAAACTGCCAATTTTATTTTTTACTTTGTCCCTTTAATCTTCAATTTCAGCATTGTACCAGACAGAATAATGCAGTTTAGCATTGTACCAGACAGAATAATGCAGTTTAGCATTGTACCAGACAGAATAATGCAGTTTTAGCATCAAAATACTTCTCAAATAAGAAAATGTAATTTTTAAAGAAATGATCTAGGTCATTTAGTATTAATTAAAATAGTACATCTTTATATATGGTAAACAAGTATAACTTATTCTTTCTAAAGAAACTTGGTAAAGCCTTATCAATCTATCATGTTGTCACCCTGTCTTGTCTACCAAACCAACAGTAAAATTTGCTTTATGATGTATCATTAACTGAACATTCCTAATTTTTGCTGACATCTCTGGAAAACAAAAGTCAACATGAACTTTAGATCTCAATAAAACTGTTGTCAATGTATTTAGAAAAACTCATTTACCAAAAGATCATTTTATGTACTTGCCATATCATATTCTAAGAGTCATTTTCATATTTGTACATCATGTTATAAAAAATCATCACCTTTTTTGTATTAACTAAATGTTAATTTATTAAGATTTTTTTTATCCATAATTGATGTTTTTTGATATCTGACATCTAACCTCAAATTTTAAGTTACAATTTGCATGTAATGTATTCAGTTGATTTCTAATTAATTTGGCTCTTGTTCAGCCTTAGGGCATTATGTTAAACATAGATTTTCATAAACATGGGACACATATATTAAAATAGAAAGTATGTTCTGTTGCTCAGAGCACCTGCTATAAGTGTTGTCACTTGGTATATGGGATATAGCCAAATATATTATCTTTCATTTCATTTTTATGGGTAGCTCCATGGAATTTTAAGGTTTTATTCAAACTCTACTCAAAATACCTTTTAAAATTCAGTTGTCCACTTGAAATTTTGAATTCCAATTTGTCCTGGAGCTACCCTGCAACCTTCCAATAAATGATTTATTTATTGAACCATTAATTATAAATACATATCATATTATTGTAGTCTGTTTTTTTTTAAATTGTATTAGTCAAATTAGATTCTTAGAAACTCGAGCCAAGGGACTTAAGCAGTTAGTAATTAGAAGTTAGTTCTGGCCTAGATTTGTTGTTTTTTTTTTAGAATATTAAAGTTTGAACTAATTTTAAATTCGAAAAGGGATGGTTGAAATTCAGTATGTTAATCTTGGTTTGTTTTGGTGAGGGTAAAAGATAAAGGTGGGTTCAGATTGACTAACGATTCAAAGCATCATATTAGATATTTCCCAGTTAACTTGAGATTGAAAGACTTCTAGCAACTTTTTTTAATTGGATTCCCTTGTTCAGGTTGATAATCGCCAGACCTGATTTTTGCTAGAAGGTAGAATCTATCTGAGATGTTGATAGTTGCTAGGTCAATCTGACTCCCCACCCCTTAAGGGAGGCTGAAACAAATTTTCAACATACAATATGAGTTTATCAATTATAAAATAATTCCATATAATTATTCAACCATCCCTTTCTGTTAATTGGTTCTCATAATTATTACACAATAACTACACAATTAGTTCATTAACTAAAATTTGACAAAATAAACAAATTAGACATGACATTATAACTAAATAAAAATATGGCTAGAACTTATTTCTTGACAGTTAAAACTTAGTTTATGCCTAGTTCACATCAACGGCGAATGCCGCGCTTTAAATCGGCGAGCAAAGCGCCATCATTTTTTGTTTACTTTTCAAAAAATATCACGATCTCCTAAGTAATGTTACGCTCTGATAAGCTCTGATACGAATTGGTAACGCTTTGGGGACGAATTATTTCCTGATTTGATCAGGCCTTGTTACGCTTTAAATCACGCTTTGATAAGCTTTATTAAGCTTTGATGCGGTTATGACGCTTTAAATCACGCTCTGATACGATTATCAAGCTCTCTTGTGCATTGTTAAGCTCTGTTACGCATTGGAAAATTTCGAAATGGCCGATTTCATGCCGCTTTTGATCAAGTGGTGACAGATCGTGAAGAATGGGGTCCCCGCTTTGAATAAAGCTCTGTTAAGCTTTCCTACGCTTTGAGTCAAGCTTTGCTGAACTTTGTTACGCTTTGTTAAGCTTTGATACAATCTCGGCGCTCTAATCAATTCGTGCCAAAGCGTCCAAAATTTTTAAACAGTTTAAAGTTTTTTGGTGCTCTTGCCGAATATCCAGCTTTGCTCAAAGCTTTCCAACGATCTATTACGACCCTGGCGCTTAAGTCGAGCTTTGTTACGCTTTGGTACCGCTTTGTATGCCGCTTTAAAGCACTATCAAAGCGCCGTTGGTTTGAATTGAGCATTAGTTAGTTTTACAGTTATTTCAAAAAACAGATTACAATTTATCATTATTTTATGTTTTATATGTACAAAGACATTTGCTTATCTGTATGCTATGAACCTTATGTTTAATATATTGAAGACATAATTCTTCACAAGTTATAACCAGACCATAGCTAAAGAATAAGCTCTCTTGCCATATTGGTAGATGTTACTGTTAAAATTTACATTTATTGACATAATGAAATTAAAAGGCAGAAAAAAACAAATTCAATCATTGATTACGCAGAAATTCAAATATTTGAAGAGTTAAAGTAAATGTCTTTGGAATCAACTAGTAAACTTTATTTACATGCTTGTTGGTCTATTGCATGGTCCTTACAATTCAAAATGTCAGTCTGAACTCTGTTTACTAAATTGTTCAAATTTTATTTTCATTTTATCCTTATTTCTAAATGTGTTATTGTGGAAATAAACCAAAATTTGAAATTTTATTTTATTGTGTATCTGGCATGTTATTTTGTTTCTGTGGTAAATATGTAACAGACCAATCAGCATGCTTCAAACTGATTTCAACTATTACAAACAATAATCACAAAGTGCACAAACGATTCCATTTCCACAATTTCTTAGCTAACATTTCATTGACAAAGTTAGATAAAATAATACATCTTAAGAGTTTGATGTTTTTCTTTGTGTTCCTTCAGTCATTCTCAAAGAATATCAAAACCCACATAAATGATATAAAACACAAGATTTGCTGGTATACAGTAGTTTGTTTGGGACAGAATTGAGTATGTGATACATTCAATCAGTTGAAATCAGTAGTAGTTATATGTCACTGTGTGATTATTTTAAAGCATACTAATCCTGCTATCAATATTTTGCATGCCTTTTTAGCGGTAGATAAAAGCTGGGTGTCTGACCAGTATCATAAACAAGGCTATTGTCAATCTGGCATGTCTGCATCCTTTACATCTGTAAGTGTTTTCTGTTTGTTTCTCATCCATTTTCATTGGCTATGTCTGATTTTTACCTTCTTCTGATTGGTTCATTAGATTGGAATCTGCACAAGTATGAAATTCACTCATTTTAATTTCAGTGATTTACACTGATTTTCGAGGAAACCATTGGCCAATCAGATGTGGAATTTGAAATATTTGGATTTTATGTGAAACAAGATTTGAGATTTACATAACATATATATTTATATATCACTGATATAACAGTTATAAGCTATAACATAGCCAACATGGTGCTTGCATACAAACTTCAAATCATTGCCTTACATACTCAATCTTACAATGGCTAGTTGAAGGCAGAGCTTGCTTCATCTGATGCTTTCAATTGCTTTAAGTAAATACAGTGTCTAAAGCTATGTTTTTCAAATTCAGACTACATGTATATCCAAAGATTTATAAAAATTGAAAGGAAATAAAAATCAGACATAAACCAGTGATAAGTTTATTTTTTTGGTGGTTTGGGTTTTCCTCCTTCCTTGTTTTTAGTTCAGTGTTGTCCTCTATTATCAGAGGAACTGGGATGATAGAAAATAGTTCACCAAAAGTGAAAGCAACACAGTATCATATTCACTTAGGCCATTTTGAAGCAAATTAAAATGAACATATCAATACATGCAGACACATTGAATTCAACATCCATTAAAATAAGTTATGTGGCGGTATGTGAGGTAAGGTATGCTCAGCCTTTTGGAACTTTTTATCAACTTGGCATATCTGAGAGTCCACAAAACTAATATTGTCTATTTGGTATATCTATAACATTTTCAATTTGAAATCTAAATATTCTTCGCAGCTCCACCATGCTGACTTGAAATTGGAATTTTCAAATGAATACATAGTAGACTAACTCAGATCATACCTTGTACTAATAATTTCAACTTTACCAAGATTGTACATAAAACAATATCTGGAGAATTTAATTTGTTGGAAATAGACCTTACTTTCTCTATCCTGGATTACTTTTTGACAATGTTCTTTGAAATTTTATTTGACAACAACAGTAGGTCACAACAAAATTAAACATGTATTTATTAGACAACACATAAATATTGTTTCTATATATTCCTATTATCAAAGTAAAATTAGATATTATTAGTTCTAAGTGTTTTAACACTTGACCATAATAATTGTGCACCATCGTCAGCCATGTTGAAATTGACTTCCTTTCCAGGTTTTTAACACTGGGTTATATATAAATAACTCTGGTTAAATCATAACTTGAAAATCTGCCAAATTGTGAGAAGATGAATGAGTTCATACATTGATTAGAGAAACAGCAGACCAGCTAGTGTTTTACACTTACTTAACACTTACTTTACCTTACATACCTTACTATACAGATTAATACCTTCAAACATTGAAAGAAAAATATACAAATAAATGGTCAAAAATGATAAATGACATTCCTTATAGAGGGTCCACATTTGGTATAAATAGCTCACTTTTACACTTATTTTTAACCTTATTTTACCTCTCATGATCATTAATTTAGTATTAATAGTGCCACTATGTTAAGTTTTTCAAGGTGACATTGCTTTCCAAGCATTCACATTTGGTTCAAATAGTTTTTAGACTATTACATAATACTATTTACTGTACCGGATAGGTTCATAGTTTAAACACTGAAAGAATTATTTTACATAGAAAATCTACTAAAGAAAGAATAGAAGACACCAACATTCACTTTCATCATTTATCTCAATTGCTGAAGAATGAAATTTACACTACAAAATATGTCTAAGCATGAAAAAATACAACTGAAAAAACAATCTATTTTAAAAATATTTCTTATATTTTTTTCGTATAATGCACACAGATTAAAGTAATACCAATTTTTCTCAACCTTGAACCAATTTTTTAGGAAAATCATAAAGATAGGTTAAAATAGTACTTGGTAAAGTGGTATAAATACTTAACATGTCCTTTCAATCTAAAGTGAACTATTTTCTATCAGACTAGTACCATGGTAACCAGTTTTGGTACTGGTATTCCATTTGTGCACATTTTGTAGCCGTTGACGCTAGAATCCGATTTAGAGACCAGTTTGATCGTCAAGGTTACTGTCAAGTGGGACTTTCTGCCGCTATATCAAATGTAAGTTGTATTCAGAAATATTCAATAATAATATTCATTTAAAGAATGAAGGTGGGACAGGGGTACAAATTTCATTGAAATCATTTTGATAAATAAATAATAATTGATAAATATTAGGAACTGGAAAAATATAGTGAAACAAAAACTATTGTGATACTACAAAAACCATTGTTATACTCTTAACAAATTTATAGTCTTACATTGTATAACAATATATAATCATATCATGGGTAGACAACTGATATAGAATTATGAATGAACCTTAAATAATGTTTTGTGTGTGGAATATCAGAAACAACATCTGTAAATCAATCAAGCTGAAGATATTCAGGTTTATATAAAACATTCCAGGCAACCTGGTTTCTGTACATTTTATCATTTTTTTTATCACTCTTTCATTCCTGTAAGAGAATTCGGTGTAAAACTGAAAATAAAAAAATCAGTTAATGTGTTTTAAGATTTCCTTAAAAAATGAATGGCAAACCCCAATACACTAGATAGGTTAGTGGAGTAAACTTTCTACATGTTCCATTATTTTGTGAAACAACAAGGCTTGTGCTGTAATGTAATCAAAGTAAAAATGAAATACTGATAACCTCTTGTGAATTATGAGTTCTAAACCATGTCAAACCATTATTGCAAGTATATTTTCAAAAATTTTGTGTTTCGACTCTTTTGGTGATGGGTTTCCTAAGTTAGAAGTGAAGTTTTTTCATTTTTGAGTTTTTGTGTGGTTTTTTGGTGAAGTGTGACTTTGGTTTAGGTGATGTAAAATTGTGTTCGAAGGCCTCTGTAAAAGGCCCTTACTTCCCAACTTCATGTGCTTTATATATTTGTGTATGCATGCTGATGTTTTTACCTTCACTCAAGATGTATTTTTTGCAGCATGGAGAGATTTTTCTACCAAAAATGCAGCTTTGTCACTTTAATTTTTGACTAAATACAGAATGATGTCTGCTTTAAGACGTAAAATAAGCTTATAGATTAGTGTATAAGTTTGTTCGTAGGATAGGTTAATTAGAAATAATCTAATTAATGACATCATAAATTCATCATCAATCATCATTAAAATCATCCCAAATATCATGTCAATAAAAAAAAATAAACACAAGAATTATATAAACAAATTTATTTGACTTTAATGTGAAAATTCTAGGTCAATTATATTTATTATTAGGTAAGGAACATTACAGCTTGGGTGTCAAAATCATCTTTAATTGTTATACTGATTTTTGGACATATAAGGCATACTCATTATAGTCAAGACTGCAAAAAAATTGTTTGTTTTATGGTGTGAATGGGGAAGAACATTGTCTAATACAGTTGACAATGTAGGGTTGTGGATATGTCTGTCCGCACAAGGTCCAAGACTCCAGTTTGTGTATCTGCTTCTTCTTCTTCTCACAGGACACCTTGTGTAATCACAACTTATTGGTGAATACATCATATTTTGTTTCAAATAGAATTGTATTATGGAAATAGAAACAAATTTTAATTGACATTGAATTGTTTTGTTTTAGATTGCAAAACATGTATAGCCAAATCACAGAATTAGGCATCACTTTGGACAATTTTTAATTTTTAGCTTTTAAATAATAAAACTCTCTTTAATGCTTTTCCCTGATCACTTTTAAACTTTTTCACCATTTTCTTACAGCTAAATCACTTTTTCATTTTCTCCATAATTCTGCTTTTGCAGAAATTTTTTTCTGTCCATCTGTTTTGTTTCACAGTCAATGCAAGCTTTGATTAGCAGAAAATATCATTGTATGTGAGAAATATTGGGCAAATTTTCATGAAATGTCTCAGTTCACCTTTTCTGTTTTGTTACATTGTTTCTGACTAAAATTCACTACTCCTATTTATGTTGCCATTTCAACATGATACACTTTAATAGGGGCATTATTGGGAACTTGCCAAATATTAACATACATGTTTATTTTATGAATTTCTAATTGTGCATAAATTATGATTCTTTAGTGATATGCATATCATTATAAATATAAATTAGAGTATTTTGTTTCAAATAAATTAATGTTAGATTTTGATCCAAGACCACAACTTATTCTTTATTACACAAAAAAAACTGACATGTACCTTTTCAAATCACAAACAAAAAGTCAAGAAACACAAGCTGAATGCAAAAAAAAAAAACCTAAATAACTTTTTACTACGATTCTTGGTAGCTTGCTTGAATCATCTAACAGTTTACAGCATTGCTTCCCATATTTTAACGTCAGTTAGAAAGGATTCTTATTCATATTGTCCTTTCTCTGTTACCCTGATATGAGACAGAGGGCTTGAACTAAAAATTGCATTTCATTGAAGAAAATTATTGTGTGCCTTGGGTCAAAACAGAGAAAATAAGAATAGAATAGACATTGGGTTGTCTTAAAGCCTTGATTTTAAGATCTAGAATAAATGTAGATATTGTACAAAGCTTGCCTTGAAAACAAATCACATGTTTACGTGGTTTATTATTTTTTATGTTTCAATTTTAGATGTTGTTTAATTCGTCAGATGTATTGATCAACAAATTTATTTTTAGTCTTGGTTATCAAAAAATCAATGTTCATCACCATTTTCTGGTTCTCAACTCTTGAAATGGGATTTTTTTGCTGCTGCAATGAATGCATTTAGTAATGAAATTTTAACAGACAATTCAAATGACACAAATAAATACCTTGGAATAAATTAACAGGATGTTACTTCAAATTTTATAATTATAGAATAGTCTTAGATATTATGAACAGCTGAAATCATCAAAATCTTTAAGTTTTTTTAATTAAGAAAAGTTTATTCAAAAATGTGCTATGAAAATTTCTTTCAGAATCACTGCCAAATTAAGTAACATCTAAAGTATTTATTAATGTTTTGTGTTTTCTTTGAACTCTTTATGTTATTTTTAATGACCTTGACCTTGCAGCTGCCTGGGGTTACCATAGACAAGGTTTTTGTCAAGCAGGTTTTGCCGCCTCCTTTGCTCAAGTGAGTTACTGTAACAATGGGTGACATGCATCTTTGTGCTGTGCTCACAATAATTCAACTGCTGTGCTTCGGACTGCTGCTGTGCTATGCTTGGAGTGGTTCAACTGTTAACCTATTTTAGATTGTGTGGTGTGTTATGTTTCAAAATCTGTGCCCTTATTTTGAAAACTTAAAGTTTAGAAGAAACATTTTGAAATTCCAATTATGACTGATGTATACCCAAGGTTTAAGAATCATACATTTTCAATGTGTATTCAATTATACTACAAATTTGAAACATGACATATACTCAAAATCTCGATTTAAAGATATTTGTGTTCAATATGATGCATGCTGTATCTATATGTAGTTGTTCTGTAGTTGGGTGAGTAGATGGGGGCGTAGTTAGTTGTAGTTATAGATGGTTGGTCATTGATCTTCAAGTGACATATTTCAAGTTTTAAATGAGTTTCGTGTGAGATATCCCAGGTTCCAGAGTTGAATGTGGTTTTACTAAAGTTATCCTGTGGATTTCCCAGCCCAGTCCTACTTGCCACTTTAACTTTTTAGATTCTTGATACTTTCCTGCTCTATGAACATATTTATATGTTACTGTCACTTTTACAGCTGAATAACAGTCTGTCGGAAAACATGAATTGGCAGTTGTGTATTGGTCAAGATTTGAATTTGCTACAGCTAAAAAAGCTACATATTGATATTCAAGCTAGTCCTACTTCTATATTTCTCAAGCTTTGTAAGGATAAAATAGTGATGTCCCGTCATGCTACAAGCATTGCTTGGTCAAACCATAAATTGAAGGCTGTATGCTTCCTGACTTTATTCAGACATTGGTAATTTCAGCATTTGATAACAACTGATTTAAAGGGTGCTGGTGGTAATAGCAAATAATCAAAAGTTTCCTTATGTTTGGAAGTATTGTGGAGTTTTCTGTGACCAATTTGTGACGCACTTTTGGTTTTATTTCACTGTCTGCCCTGTTGTTTCTGCACTGATTTTTACCAATTTGCACACTCCTTTTCTTTGATTTTCTTCATCTTATGTGTTCACAGTCAGAAGAGAAAATAAAGGAATAACATTCATAGTAGAAAGATACTATAAAGATATTGATAACATATATGTTGTTCTTAGCATTGCGAACTAACGAACATGAATAATCCAACAGCTTTTAGAAAAGTGTTAAACGTTCAACTAATTTAAACCAAAAGATGATAAAGTCATGATTAGGAAAAGTAAAATATATTTGATGAGCAGAGGGCTGTATAGTGCCTTTCTTGTGGTTAATACTAGTCTAGAACAGATATTTTATGATACCACAACTCACAAGAACTTCCTATAACTATAATCATATACTCAAATAGAGACTAGAACTGTCTATAACTATAATCATATACTCAAATAGAGACTAGAACTGTCTATAATCATATACTCAAATTTAGAACTGTCTATAACTATAATCATATACTCAAATAGAGACTAGAACTGTCTATAACTATAATCATACACTCAAATAGAGACTAGAACTGTCTATAACTATAATCATATACTCAAATAGAGACTAGAACTGTCTATAACTATAATCATATACTCAAATAGAGACTAGAACTGTCTATAACTATAATCATATACTCAAATAGAGACTAGAACTGTCTATAACTATAATCATATACTCAATGGAGACTAGAACTGTTTTTTAAATATAACCATATACTCAAATAGAGACTAGAACTGTCTATAACTATAATCATATACTCAAATAGAGACTAGAACTGTCTATAAATATAATCATATACTCAAATAGAGACTAGAACTGTCTATAAATATAATCATATACTCAAATAGGGACTAGAACTGTCTATAACTATAATCATATACTCAAATAGAGACTAGAACTGTCTATAACTATAATCATATACTCATATAGAGACTAGATCTGTCTATAAATATAATCATATACTCAAATAGAGACTAGAACTGTCTATAAATATAATCATATACTCAAATAGGGACTAGAACTGTCTATAACTATAATCATATACTCAAATAGAGACTAAAACTGTCTATAACTATAATCATATACTCAAATAGAGACTAGAACTGTCTATAACTATAATCATATACTGAAATAGAGACTAGAACTGTCTATAACTATAATCATATACTGAAATAGAGACTATCTTTTTTTTTTTCTTTTTTTTTAGAAATAATATTTATTTAGTCATAAGGATTGGGGAACATATAGTACCCTCTCCTTAGAGACTATCTTATACCAGTGCATCAGTATGCTGTTGGTGTAAGGAACAGAACAATAATAGTGAACCATCTCAAGAACTAAAACTTTAGATTTGGACAGTATAACAGTATCTGGGTATCAAGTAACAGATGAAAATGAACAAATTCAATTGTACCCTGGCGCCCTCGTTTATATTTCCATTATAAAATGATAAATGGTCGGGGGATAATAAAATAACACAGTTATATGATTACAGTTATTGGAATTACCAGGCCAGTTGGTCGGTGGCGTATTTTATTATATAAAAATATCCTAATAAATCTTTGATAAGATTATTCTCTGTCAATTTTATGATTTTCTTCATTATTATAGCCGGAATAAATCAGAACTGTAAAACATTCCCTTGTTGTGATCAAAGGCAGGTCTAGCCAGAAATAATTACTACAAAAGCTATCAGTCTAATATTGATAGGCATTTTACAAAAATTGACAGGAAGTAAACCGAAAGTAACATTTCAGTCTTTCCAATATTGATAACAAAAAATCATTTCATATTTCCATGCGGAAACATTCATTGCTAATGATGACGGAGAGAAATAGGCTCAATGACTGCAGAAAATCGTTTGCAAGTCATGATATTTTGAATTGAATATAACTAAAAACTAAATCAAGCAAATTGAATAGTTAAAACATCTAAATTTTAAATTCCAATAAACCAAGGAAAATATAGTAATATTTGAATAATTGATGTACCTGTAAGCGAGGTGAATATGACAGATAAATAATAAATTATTGTTCAATAAGAAATATTGAAATATTTGTGTATTGGGTATTAACAGTGAATTTTTGGGAAATTTTGAAAATGAATTATTATGAAATGGAATAAAAAGTACATTCTATGAACATATTTATGGTGGTTTGACTGTTATATTGTAGGATGGTGAACAGTTAATGATAGCAGCTGTTGGTAGTTACTATTGGCAGGGTAAGTTCCTATTAAAACCCTTATTCAACTGAGGACTTTTGATGCTGCAGTCTAGTCCAGTTGAGTTTCTACTGGAAGGCAACGGGGCTGTTAAGCTTTGATTCATAGAAACACCATTGTCATGGAAAATTATCAGTATTATAAGCTCAAGCAAATTCTGAAAAATAGGGTGTTAATTATCATTTCCTTAAAAAATCTTATTTGATTAATTGGTACCAAATTTTTTGAAGGTTTATTGCTATTATTTACTTATTGGATTTAATATCTAAAGTAATGGGCCCTAGTTCTCAAAGCTTTTAAAGATGAAACTTAATTAAAATATTAAAGTTTGAAACTTATGCTTGAAGTTTTTTAAGTACAGACAATTTGAAGAAACTACAGTTTTTATTAAATCTTTGTGTATATCCAATAAATTGAAAAATGCCACTCCATACCAATATCTGACTTGTATTTTAAAATTTAATTTCTAGTACATTCCTGCATCTGACAAATTTTAATTTTGAAACAAGCAGAAATATTAACATGTTGGCTATTTTTAGAAAAATGAAGTATACATTTCCTTGATATTCATATCAACTATATCCTGTCAAAAATTAAAATGAAAAAAAATATATGTTCTCTTGCCTGGCTTGTTTATACATCATTTTGTCAACCTGGTAAACCAGAAAATGATCAATAAGTTGTGTATAATTTGCTTTTGTATATTTTGTGTGATTGTTTGATTGAAATTGAAAATCATCATTAAGGTAGCCATCACAGATATGTGGCATTTGTATAATCATTAGAAAAATGGGCGAGAAGGTGCCACAGAATTGTAAAAGGGCTAAAGGCAATTCTTTCCCTATGTTATTTGATTAGAAATTTTGAAAGTGGGTGGGCCAGAGGTTAATTCAATTTCATTGTATATCCATCGTTTCTAATAGAACCTTTGAAGTTCATTTTATATTGGATTATGATAATTAAAACTGTTTATTGTTTTATCCAGGACAGTTATATAACTATGATCTAGCCAATCCTGATAATGTGAAGAAGACAGCTGAAGGACCAGCTAAAGATGATGACAGTTATATGGGTAAGAACAGTTTTATCTAATTTTATTTGTACATTTTCGTTGATGTGGATTTCTTTCGACATCGGGCACTCTAAGAATCATCAAAGAGGAACATGGTAAGCTAACCAAAAAATGCTTATATTGGTAATTCTATTCAGCTTCTAAGACTATTACTTGATCTATGAGCTTTCCTATCATACTGTAGCCTAGATTGGGAATGAAAATTACTCTTAGAACCTTGATTTTTGCATCCATATACACATGCCCAAAATATATCAAATGTATGTAACCTGTTGTAGTGTTGATTATGTAAATAATTATCAGAAGTTTTGATGATAGATGGATATATTTGTGAGATATGCTCTCTTTAATTGATTATTTGATAATTACTTTGTATATATCATGATTTGAGGTCATGTTCTCAGGCCATTGAATGGATAACTGTAATTCTGTGAACCCATCCATCATAGAAGCAATCAAAACATGTCACTCTTCTATATTTACTAATCTCTTGCTTTATAAATATTATTGCTGTAATTGATTTTCTTTAAGAGGAAACTTGTCTTATTTGTTGAAAATTTTTAAAAAATCATGCACTAGACAATGATTTCTTTTTAGATTATCCAAAGTCAAACTTATATAAGACTTGAAAGGGGGAATTTCATACCCTAAGGCTAGACATTTCCACAGTGATCTTTCTAAATTACCCATCCTTATAATAACTGAGTCCAATAGATTAGTTGTCTTTAACTGATCTTCTCTAGTTTTAAATAACAAACTAGTAGCTTTCAAATATTCTGACTAAATAAACCTCCACGTCTTCAGTTTACATCTTCAAATTGACAGAAATTGCAAGATAGTCAATTCACCACAGACTGGTAGATGTTAGAAAGTAAAATTTCTTATATTACTGTCTCTTACAATCTTATCAGTAATTTTCTTATGGAGCCAAATCAGTTTTGACATCAACATTAACTGATCAATTTAGAAAATTGCTGTATTCATCATTTTTCTTACGAGTTCTAACTGTAAGAATTTAATATTGAGATTGACATCAAAGTATTATATGTTGTATTTAAGAATGAATAACCAATATAAAGAAAATCTTGATAGCTTCTAAAAATGATTGAGTAGGAAAATTAAAGAAGAGAAAAGATCAGTCATTCCTCCAAAAATATATAAGGAGGAATAAAAAGAAATAAAAATCAATAAACAGACAAACACACTTCTTACCACTCTACCAACTTAAACTAGGGTAGTCTCATTCGACTATTTATTTTTTTGTTAATTATCATATTATTTCAACCATTTTAGGGCATCATGAATCTGAAGAAAGGTTATTAACTCTTAATTTCTTAATTTAATCAAGCGATTACGTCTCACTATTTGCTTCAAAGAGACAAAATATTGTGATTGCAACTTATCATAGCGCAGTGGCTCAGTGAGAAACAGTTATTTTCAGGAGAAGTCTTCTTTATGAATAAGTTGATATTATATAAGATATCTATATTTAAGTTTAAAAGGATGGTTAACCAGTAAAATGACGTCTGACTTGTTATTGAAAATAATATCATATAACTAACCTTGATAAAGTTAGTGTAATAAAAACTCGGGGTTATTTAACCTTATTGATTTCTACAGAAAACTTGTTTTAATTTCATTTCCTTAGACTTCAATTGCCATATTTACCCTAGTTGTTATTTACCATAGTTCGGCACTTTCTTTTTTATTACAAAATGCAATTGCGATTAATAATACTAGAATATGCCATCTGCAAATGATAATTGGCCTATCTGAACTTGAATTTTTCTTAATAAATGTTTTTCAGGATATTCTAGTAGTGTTGGTGATTTTGATGGTGACAATGTTGATGGTATGTTAGTTTCTTAATTTTCTTATATATATTATGAAAGACAAATAAAATACCATTTTAGATCTATGTGTATCTGGGACATTTTTGGCTGCTATTTGTATCATTCCAATATTCTGTCAGACGTCTGTAGTTCCTGTAATAAAAGAAATGCTAAACCATATTTAGCACAACTATTCGAAAAGCTGCTGATGCATTAACAGCGTATGTCTTAAAAGGCCTAGTTTTAGTTGAATTTTAAGACCCACAAATGTCTGACTGAAAATTGAAATGGTGAAAATCAATGCTATCTCATCCTTGATACACTTAAATAGTCAAGATAACCTCTTAGCAATCCTTTTGATAGAAAAGAAATTATAGTTGATTTTGTACTGAAATGATTTGGTATTTTTTTATTCCAACATTTCTAATTTCAGATTACATTGTTGGCATCCCAAAAGCAGAACAACATCTGGGAAAGGTGGGCATTTATAAAGATGATTTGTTTAGGTCTTTTTTGAAGGGTAGGCTACAAGTCATGCTTAAAAAGATGGAGACTAATTTTGAATCCAAGAATTCTTTCTACCAGCTGTTCTCCAACTAGATTTCATGACAATTCTTGCAACATTCTCATCTAAATTTACATTCCAATCATTGAACAGAATTGTAGATGACCTTTCTAAGAATGTAAAAGGTACTGCAGAACATCATCAAGCATCTAGAAATTCAAATTTGTTTCAATTCATAACAATAGTGAGGTTTGCCACCATTTAACAATTATTATTGTTCATCTCTTGAATTGTTTGAAGAAATCAAGGTTTTCACATACCAAAATCATATTAAAATTTGTTTTTTTGAATGTTTATAGGTTGCTATGTTCACACAGAATTTTTCCAACATTGCCAATATAACAGGAGAACAGGTAATATATTATATAATATCTACGAATAAAAGAAGGATAGATACTTGAGACTTTATTAAAACACTGCAAGACTTAATCTGAATTTATTGGATGTTTTGTAGCTGCGAAGTTCTTATGGCATATTTTTGTTACAGGTTGGATCATTCTTTGGATATTCTCTAGCAGTTACAGATCTGAATAAAGATGGGTAAGTTATTTATGTATATATCATGAGGTCATATTTTTGTTTATTGTATTGTTACTATGCCTTGAAAATATGGAATTGAAACATGTTGGCAGTAAATATTAACTATCTTAAACGGTGTTATGATCTATTTTAACTATATTATATATATATTTCTTTTATATTAATTCTTAAAAGAAATTTTCAAGAAGATGGACTGTATATATGTACTAAATTATAAAATCTTCAGAGGACAGTTATAAAGGATACATAATGCAAAACTTGAAAATATGTATGAATTTAGGTATGGTATGGATACATCAGTACTCAGGATCTGATCTTAATGCTCATCTATAATGTATGATCTGATTTTTAACAGTTTTCTAAGAAATATATTATTATTATTATTTCAACAATACCATTAACAGAAAATTTAAAACACCATTAACAGAAAATTTAAAAGTTGAAATATCCCTAGCTTTCAAAACCACATGAACAAACTTTGGTAAATTTTGATGTATCAGCTGTTAACTGATATCATGTTACCAAAATCATTATTTACTTACTTGACTATTAAATGAATATATTTGTGTATGTTAATGATATATTTACAGGTTAGATGATGTGATTGTAGGAGCACCATTTTACAGTGATTACGCCTCATTAACCGTGTATGATACAGGCCGTGTCTATATTTACTATCAACAAACTACAGAGGTATTTATACAATATTATATTACAGACAGATCTTATGTCTTATGCTGTTTTATAATCTATTATCAGGAGTTCTGATACGGGACTTTTTTTTATCATGGGAGCAAATTTTCAATATCTAGCTAGTATGAACAGTATAAGTAAGGGAGCTCACTCTTTAATTTTTAGAAAAAAGCCAATGGAAACTTTAAGTCAGTAAAATAATTGTCAAAGTATCTTCATGGAGACATATTTAAGTTGCCAATCTGGAGTGTATTTTTCCTTATATTGTAAAAAAAAAATGTTTATTTATTGTAGAAGAAATTTAAAGAAAATCGTAAAGATGTATTAGATGGTTTTGACAGTAAATCAAGATTTGGGTCAGCTATATCAAAACTGGGTGATATTAACTATGATGGCTACAATGGTATGAATTCTATTTTTTATACAGACCATGATTCTTGTTGAATATTTAGTGTTTTATTTTAGTAGCAATTTTTAAATAATATTCTGCTATATCTAATAAAAATCAGTAATGGAATGGACACTGCCAACAGGCTTACTTTCAGACCCCTAATTCAAATATATTGTGCAATAGTGTGAGAATTACTACTTGAAATATTGCAATAACTGCGCAAATTATTTGAAAGTTTTGAGATATGCCATATAGATATGTGCATTGTCATGTATTATCACAAGAATACTTTTGTGCTACTTGAAGCACCATACACTGGTGATGAGGGATGTGAAACTATCTTAATAATGATATTATTATTTATTTTATCTATTATAGATCTAGGAGTTGGAGCACCATATGCAGGTGATGAAGGACGTGGAGCTATCTATATCTATCATGGTTCTATTAAAGGCATTATCACACAAGTCTCTCAGGTAAGTTTCTTTCTCTGTGTTTATTCATGTTAATTCAATTAGTAAGATACCCTTTCACAAACCTTGTTGTTGGGAGCCCAAGTCATAGCATCAGAATTTATTTAAGGCAGGGGTTTTTCTTTCTATTTCCCTTTCCAGAATCCTTGATATAAATCCTTTCTATTTCGTGATTTTCCCTGCAATCTTTTTCATGTCGGAGAATATAGTCTGACTGAATATAATAATATAATTGTCCGAATAAACTTTTAATGTCAAAATTAGCATTATCTTTTACAATTCCAAGAAGAATATGCCTTATTTTTTTAATAGATTATTCATGCTAACGACATTAAAACAGGATTATCTACCTTTGGTTACTCTCTATCAGGAGGCTGGGATCAAGATGGCAATTCTTATCCAGGTAAGATTATTTTACATGGGAATGCTTTAAATATTTTACTTACTGAACATTTGGACTTATGTGAAGTGTCTTGAGGGCTGTTAAGGGCTCTGACACTTTAAACTGTATAGTTTCAATTACTTTTCTGATCATTTCATGATAGTTACCTGAACTATTACAAATTGTATGTATTGTATTTGATTATTTACCTCCCCTGCATGCACTGGTAACTCTTGTTATTCTTTGTGTAAACCACCATTCTTACTATAAAATTTTTGATATCTACATTTGAATTTTCCTTTAAGTGTACCTAATAAATGACAATATTTTTTTTTATGTTTGTTGCAAATCCTTATTTTTGTTTTAATTTGAATTGTAGATGTTTTGGTAGGAGCTTATGCTGTAGATAAAGCTGTATTTTTGAGGTAAGTTATGTTTTAAATCAATCTCTTTTTACCATATTTAATAGCTGTACATACATATAGTTGATCTGTTTATCATTTGATTTAAAAAAATACCACATGCTACGTTAAGCCAACTTGATTCTTGAAGTAAATGCTGTGTTGAGAACCAGTCCACAGAGTACCATCTGTACCAATACATCAACTGTGTTTAACAGATGATATAAATATTTTGTTTAACAGAACGCGACCAGTGGTACGAGTAACAGCTAGTCTAAAAATAGAACCAGAAATGGTGAATTTAGAGAAGAGATCTTGTAGTTTAGTTGATGATACTAGAGTATCTTGGTGAGTATAAGATAATAACAGAATAGAGGTTTTATAATAATAGGAAGGGCTGGAATATCATTCTCTACTGAAAACCTATTCTATCAACTTGTGTGTAAAATATATGGACTGTTATATTTGGATGTAGGTGTTATGTTGGGATATGAAAAGGACAGCTCTCCTTTTGAAAGTTCTTCATAGGGCCTTGGAGCAGCACTGGCTTAGATGTTAGCCATCTAACCTGAAGGTCCAGGGTTCGTGGGTTCAATTTGGAATAGTGATGTAGTGCCAAGGGGCTGTGTACTAATTATTCCTCAACATTTGGAAAATAAAAGATAGAAGGTTATCTTATGTCCTTCATCATTAGGATGTTAAAACCCATTTCATCTGTGGAAAGTGGAAATACTTTAATTCAATATATTTGGATTTATTTCAGTTTAACAATTTACACCTGTTTAGAGTACAGTGGTATTGGTGTGCCTAATGAACTCTGTAAGTATAATATATAGGTTTTTATTCATCAGATGAATTGTCAATTGCTTTGCCAAGCATATAGGTAGGCACTTCACAGGAATAGTTTCTTGACATTTATTTAAGTATTAATGGGATTGAAGCACTTTATTGTATTTTTACACAAGAGACTACGCATATTTTGTTGGCATTCAGTTCGATGCACTTGATCTTTTTAAGTGAAAAGTAAAGAGATCTTTCATATTGATTGCATATTGCATATATCTCTACATTTTGATATATATGTTGTTTTGTCATATTTTTTCTCTAGATTTTGATGTGGAATGGAATCTAGATACATTACAAAGAAATAAAACACTGGAGGAACAGCGAGCCTTTTACTTATTATCTGGATTGGTTACACGAGAAAATAACACCATCAAATTAACACATAAAGCTATGTGGTGTGTTTCTTCATTCGCTTATGTCAAGGTAAGGAAAGAAGATTTTCAGATCCGTAGACTTCAATTGTGGGTTTCCACTTCCAGATTGCTTTGTTGTACCCAAATCTAAATAATTTAATTGAGGTATTTTCAAAAAAAGGTTTCTAGGGATTAGTCCTGGCAACTGACCTTCAAGAATTTGATATTGTGTCAATAAAGTTTGTATAATTTAATTTATTTTATATTTTGTCGATTCACCATCCTTTTTGAAGAGCAGACATAGCTTTTAATGTTCACTGATTAAATACTTTATTACTACTAATTGTTGGCTTGATACTAACTTTTGAAGTGTTACATCAATTAGTCATTTAAATTTATTCTTTTTAGACTTATTATTCAGTCATTTTGAATTTAAATATTCCTAATTTTCTAATTGTTACAGAATGAACCAAGAGATAAATTAACACCGATTGCTGTAGATTTTAAATTTAATCTTCATGAACGAACCAAGAGAACCACTCGAGAATTAAAACCTATTTTAGATCAATATATTCCACAAAAAGTTCGACATCAGGTATGAAAGGAAGTAAATATGATATCTTAATGAGAATGGTCTAGGTTATATAGGAAAAGATAAGCTTATTGATTAATTATTGAAAATTAGATTACTCATTGAAAAGACAAACGTAATGGTAGATTCTTACTTAATTCACTAACCTGATAGTAAACAACTGTTATAGTTGAATTGAGTCCAACTGGACAATTAACAATATGTGGTTAACATCAAATGACTGTTCCAGATATATATATAGATCAACAAATTATAGAAACAATTGATGTGACCAGTTAACTTTATTTTTCAGGCCCAGATATTGAAACATTGTGGAGTGGATAATATTTGTATTCCTGATTTAGTTGTTAATTCATTCAGGTATTAATAGCTTGTAATATTTATTGAAACAACACCAAATGTTGCTCTTTTGTCTTCTTATTGTAACACCATTTTTTGTTCTTGGAGCTAGATAGTGCTTCACTGTTGTAATTTAGTGACTATTAGGACGGATTGTTTAGGTTTTTTGTGTGAATTAGAACTGATTAATTTGGAGGGGAAAACAGACAAAGTTATTTTAGACCAATGAGATAATTTAAAAGGTCAATTCTTTATTTCTTTTATAGAGTATCAGCAGCCCATATTATAGGAAGTGATGCCGAACTGGAAGTTCTAGTCATGGTGGAAAATAGAGGAGAAAACGCTTTTAATTCTAGACTTTGGATCAACATGCCTCCTGGTGTTACATATAGAAATATCCATGGTATTGAAGCTGTCACTCCTGTCAGCTGTACATCTAATACTATAGAAGGAGAGGTGGTAGTTATGTGTGATTTGGGTAATCCTCTACCCTACAGAGCCAAGGTGAGTTTGTATTGCTTTAAATACATATCATGTATTTCTATTATTCATTTGAAATATTAAAAAACAAAGATTAAAAGCTGCAAGATTCAGTAAGATATCCACAGAAATTAATGTATTATGATTTCACAGCAAAATATTTTAATGCAAAATTTCAAGATTGTTATTTTCAGTTAAACCACCAGCCTTTGTATCTAAGTAACTTGCAGGAGTTTTAGTTGACATTTATCAACAAAAATAGTTACTTGTGTGACATTTTGAGAAAAAAATGATAAATTCTGTCCATTTTTTTCAGACAAATTTTACGCTTAGAGTTTCACCTAAAGAAGTAAATGGTTCAAGGAATCAACTGATTTTTGCTTTAAATATCAACAGCTCAAATACAGAAAACTTTACTGATACAGTCAATAACTTTGCAAGTGTGTCCATTCCTGTCACAGCTTCAGCTGATATACAAGTTTATGGGTAAGTTACATTTGACGGTGGAATGGTTGTTGAGCAGTGAAGTGGGATACAGTTAATTTTTTTTTTCGCAAGTTTGTAGCAGCCTTACAAAATTTAAAAAATAGAATATATAAGATGATGAGTGAAGGGTTGTGATGTTTGTGGAGTGAGCAACTGAAGACATGAAAAGCATTGTTCTAGTCAAAGTTTCAAACCATTTGTATTTTTTAGTAAATCCACCCCAGAATTGATTATATTTAACGCAACAGAAGCCAAAAAATATGTCAGGGAAAATAAACAGCCATCAATTGAACATTTATTTGAGGTGAGAAAAAGAAACAGATTTTTTTTATTTGAAGAATCTTCGATATTTTGTGATATTTATAAAGAATAAGACACTCCCAAGTTTGATAATTAATTTGGTAAAATGTTCATGGAATTGGTGGAAGCTTAAAGTGGTATATACTCAACTATGATTTACGGTTATTTTATCAAATCATGGATGGTACGTTTGTAACCAGCAGAAGAAACGCAAAACAAAACATCTAGATCTGAAGTTTAGGATAGCAATATTTACCAGCATCAATGAGAACCAGTGTTGTTACCCCTAACAGCAGTATGGGGAAAGAAACTCATGAGCACTCCCCATTTCTCTTTATTGAGTTTTTTCTATGACTTTACTAATTTGACATTTTTTGTTGTTTTAGTTACGTAATTTGGGTCCCAGTGCTACCAAGACAACAGAATTAACTATATATTGGCCAACACGAGGGGATGATGGTAAAAGGTTATTAGAATTAGCTAAGCAACCAGAAATAGAGAAGGGAAATGGTGAATGTTATACATTTTATTTAACACCATCTAATTTTTCAGTGAGTATATTAGTTTTATATTGATTGTATTATATGATAAAGTTTACCGTAGGTTCCAATTAATCTTCATGGATATTCCAATTCTGTTGGCAATTCTTAAAACAAAGTTGCATCCAAATACTTGTGAGACCTTGTTGATCTTCTAAATTTTTTTAATTAAAACTATTAGAAAATGCAGATAAACTAATATCTTCAGATTATATTAAGTTCAATATTTCCATTGTATATCTATATTTTTAAGTCGTTTGAATATGCCAGAAATCAAGAAAATAATGTAGATGTAATATTACAAGAATCTCGATCCAGAACAAAGCGAGACAACAGCAGACCAAGAGAAATAGTAAGTATTGAAATTGGTGCTCATTGGGAATGAAATTCAATATTGATTAAGAGCATGGAGATTTTTTGAACCAAGTATTGTACCACTCTTTGGTTAACAATTTAAAAGAAATAATGATACAAGAGAATAATGTATATCCTGTATCTTTCTTTGGCTCTTGAAAGTAATATTTAGAGGTAGGATGGTCGTAATGTTACAGAATACTTTATGACACTGGCATTGGGTTAAAGGTGTAGGTTAAAGTGGTTTAAATGAATATTTAGAAGGATTGTCTATTTTCCCTGGAATATATGTGAATATTTAAACAAAATATTATTTATAAATATCAGTTATATTTGTTGTCCATTGTGTATTATAGAAATGTACGAATCAATGGTGTAGAGTGATACGTTGTGTAGTTGGTTATATGGCTTCTGATGATAATTTCTTATTGAAAATAACTGGTAAACTCTATACAGATTCATTGATTAGTGTAAGTATGCTGTCATGCTATTTCCATGAGTTGGAGCTGCTATGAGTCAGTGGATAAGACACTTGCTTGCATTCCTGTTTGTTGTAAGAACAGAGGAGCTGACATTAATAGGACAACAAACAGGCTACAGGCTGTGTACTTTGAAGAGACCTCAACAGCAAATTAGATTTCCTGGCAAAATATCCCTCATTGCATTATGCAAGGCTTTTGCCCATCATCTGTAGCTCGAACAGGTGCAGAAGAAGGATGCAAAATCTATACCATTTCATTTTCAAACAAGTATGACATTTTGTCTGCTGGTTGTGAATTAAAGTATAAAAATCATATAGAAATCTACAGTCCCACTTTATATACTACTGTAGATTGTTCTGGTAGTGACTCATTGGAGCCTTGTTTGTGGATGCTCATTTCTATTGGCAATTAATTTGATTTTCAGTCTGGTTCTGCAGAAACCTTGATGATTACATCCAGGGGAACAGCAAAAATTCTAGCCATGCCGTATGATCTTGACAGTGTTGATGTTACTTTATTCCGAGAAGCCAGTCGAGAGGTTAGTATCATGAAACATCAATCATAGAATTGGGTATAGATAGTAAATGGGGATTGGATACAAAGAGCAATATTCTTGTTAATTTACAATGAAAAAAATACATGTCCATTTTTGATGATTCAAAACTTTTACTACTAGACTTAATGCTAAAATGAAGTGTTGGATACTTCTTGTTCTGACACTAAATGGCTTTTTATACGCCCACATGAATATGTGGTCGTATATTGTCGTCGCCCCTGTAGGTCGGTCCGTCCGTCAACATTTCTTGTGGGCACTATAGAGA